GGTACCGCTTAATATAGGTTTAGAAATTATTATTTGAACAAACGATTTTGTATAAGTATAATATATCGCGACCGTTAAGCTTTAGTACCAATAAAATGTCAGGTTCAGATTCATATCCAGAATGTGTTGAAGAATTTAGTATTGAAATTGCAGACTATAATCCAATTGATCCCGGTTATCATTTTGCCTTTGCCAGAGTTGTCAATCATGCAACACTAAATGCAAAGCTTTTATTATTCTTAATAAGTAATTACAACTGACTTTCATCTATTCTGAATTCTTTCATGTTACCCTACCCACTTACTGTGACATGTTTGTCATCTTGATGCTAGCATAGTGAATTAATATCGTAACCAACTTTCCTTCATCATCAATTTCCAATTCGATATCTTCGGTATCAGTTTTTTGAATAGTCACAGGAACAGGATCAGCAAGATTAAACCTAAATACGTCATTTTTCTCATCATAAGCAGCCTTGAGTGAAAAGGTTGGCTTGTCTCTCGCTATTCCTCGAACGTGCATTGATGGTGAATCGATACGAATAAATTTAATTTTTCCCGTCTCGCTGTAACCTACGAGAAGATAACATGTTGCTTCATCGGCGATGTCCTCGGGTTCCTCTGTAAATTCTACAAAAAGAGCGTCCGAATCGGCATAGTATACAGCAGATGTAATAAACCTTTTAAATTATAAAAGGATGTAAATTCTCCAATCTATCATAAGCGTGACTAATAAAGGAGCGCCAGCTCCATTAAAATAATAAATATTGCAAACCTGCCCGTATAGGAAATACGACCATGTCTTATCAAGCCATCATCAAGTAATTTTCCATTACCGTTTGTCGAAGTCTCTTGTTTATCACGTTCTGTCATAGTTTCTTGAGTTCGCTAAATATTTATGACAAGACATAAATAAGTAATACAGACATAAAAAATAAACCAAGTTTTCAACGTATTATAGTTTTGTACCCTCTCTTTTGGCCTTAGTTTTTTTAAGAGTTTTCTATATTGTAAGTAATTTTGGTTATATATGTATATATACACACAAATACAAAAAGTTTGATATGGTCAGCTTACTTAATCGAATTAATATACATTTTTATTCCAGTAACGGCTCACTGGCCCGGCGGAATACAAAGTTATAATGGTCCACGGATTTGTTTTTGTGACAACAACCACGCGAATAACCAAATTTCTTCCAGATATTTTCTTTTGAATAATGGCCCGGTCGGTTGATTTCCCTCTGCAACGTTGAGTGGAAGTATCCCCGTCTTGATACGAAAGTACAACGCTTTCAATATAATTTGGTTTAAATTCTCTAATATACGTGCGTGCTTTTGCTTCACTTCCCCACCTAAGTTGTAAAAAGCTTTTCTCAAGGATTATTGACCACTTTTGGTAATCGAGAGTAATGGTATTAGTAGTATCACTATCGCTATCGCTATTACTCATCAGAAACTTCAACAATGATCTTCCTGATATCGAATAAATAGGGGATGTCTATACGATCTGATTGGTTGTGGCTTAATATATTCATGCATCAGTGACCCAATGATATTCGATACGCAGGAATTTATCGCGTTTGTCTATCGTATCTAACATTAATCGTATCCGCATCCCCATATTAAATGATCGGCAAACCATAACCAGGAATGCATTATACAGTCGCTGCATAATAATAACGTATATTTGCATAATCTGTTCATTTGCATAAAAGAGTCCAAACTCCTTAGTAGGACTTATTAACTATTTGCATAATGTGAACGTGCAATATGCATCAAGGGTGGGTCTAACTCTAGTAGGTCCCACTAACGTATTGTCCAATTCGACATAACACTACAGAAATATATCAATATCAAACTGGTTGCATATAGAATTAAAACTAGTTTATTATTTTTTCTTCTAATATATTATCATGAACAGCCAATCACCACAACAACAGACTCGTGTCCGTAAATTTCTCAGACCGGATGCCACCCCATTGACACCCAAAGCTATCGAAGAAATCAGAAACGCACCGGAAAATATTCCAAATGCATGTCGTGTGATGTGTAAAAAATACCATATAGGTACAAAGCGATATGAGGATATAATTAATAATCGAATGCCTTCTGAACCGACTGAGGAGTGGCGTCGTATTATTGAAGAAGCAGAGCTTCGAGGTTCAGTTAATAAGACTTGTGTAGCATGGCCCTCTTTAAGGCGTGTATATATTTACTCTGCAGAGCCACATACGCAAACTCTTGATAGTGCTGAAACTTTTACCAAGTTAGACACAAACTCAGAGGCTTTGCTGCCGTACGGCCACGAGGCTATGGTACCACTCCCGAAGGGGCAAGTCTCTGTGGTTACACCTGACTCATATGAAAGAACTAATATGGACTCAGTGGTACCACCGCAGAGTGAGGATTTCTCCGAATGTAAATCGCTTATTCCATTTTTAATCCATCCAGCCACTGAAGCGAGGGGGCTCTTGTCTTAAACACAACAAAAAAAATAGACTATTGTAAAGCCGCTCCCTTTGGGGGTCGTACGCAGAGTTATATCTTAGATAAACAATTGTGCTTTGACTGTACCGTGCCGTACGGCTAAGTAGTATTTTGAAAACTAATTCTTTGTGGTACCACTGAAGTTAATCTATTTTCTCCTTATTTATCTTGTGACCATATGGCAGCGTACGCTCATGCCATTGACCCATTGTTGACTCGATACGACTCAGCGGTGCCGCCGACATAGGCTTAACACAATTCAACATTGACTCGACATGACTCGACATTGACTCGACAAATCGACATTTATGTCGTTTCAACATATAAGGGTATCGAAATTCTCTACTGCAATACTCACACGTTCGATCACTCAATTTTTTTTAATTCTAAATCATTGACGAAAGCCTTCTGCGGTGGTACCACTGAAATATTTTCTACTGTAAAAACCTCACGCTGGGATTTATGTACTGAAAGAGGAATTGTAACATGCACACCATTGCGGGTCGCCTTAAACTCTCGATTAACAATAGGTTCCCATCCAAGCTTGTTGAGTAAAGGGTTGCCAAATAGAACTAGAGACTTGCAATCTCCATCTCTATTTTTTTCAGCTTTAACAATTGAAAACTTTTCACTTACCGAAATTGTATTTATTCCGTCGCTAATAGACACAGGTACATTATATGATGTTCCTAAAACGTTAGCCTTGCTTGCAACACCAGTAATGCGTGGAGTATTCGATGTATCTATTTTAAGTCCCATGTCTTCTGCAATATCGTCAGAAATAAGTGAGTCATTAGAACCGGAATCAATCAATGCATGCGGAATCGTCATTGACGCAACCTTACAGCATATTGTTGCCACATCATCGGGGTCTTTAGCCTCAATAAAATTTATTTCGTATCTTGGATCGGGCCAATAAGATTTTTTTGTGTTCTCACGCCGTACGGCACTAAAATGTCTATTGATTGCGAAATTTAATGAGTTAGGCTGGGGTTGTTCGTTAGATTTACTTATACGATTGACAGCTTCAATCAAAGGGAATAAAATATCGTTATAAAATTCCGTAACATTTTTCCAAATTACTTCTTTCTCCTTGGAGGAATATTTCGATGCAAAATTGACTAGAAGCTTATCCTTCAAACCGTTATATACCTTACCCAAATAATCTAAAATTTCTGGTAAAATAGGTTTGGGACATTCTTTAACCAGCGCTTCTATCATTGACTTAGAAGATGCCCGGAATATTTTTTGAGTTACAGTTACCGTAGATGAGGTATTTAATGATGATTGCTTTTTTTTTCCTGCTTTGGCCGTACGGCTGCGAGATTTACCTCTAGAACCAGAATTTATGGCTTTTTTTTTTTTTAATCCGAAAGATTGACGTAAATTGTTTTCATCCTCTTCAGAGTCAATTTCTTCTTGATCTGATGAGTTGTAGACCCGCTCTCTCCTAGAGTCTTCCTCTTCTGATTCTTCAGAAGTTGGTGAAGAGCTATCAGAGTAATATTCTTCTTTATCCTCAGACCTTACTGCAAAATTAACCTTTTTAGTCAGTTTCCCACTCACTCTTGAAGGGGCCCGTCGTCTTGTCTGCCTTGCATTTTTGTGTCGTACAGCTGTGGTACCACTGCGAACTAACTTCTGTTGTTGTATGGCTGGAACAGATCGCTTTGTGCCAGAAATTTTTCTAACTGTATTAATCTTCTTTTATATGGTAATTTTCATACCCCAATCGATTTTCTAATTCATCTTCGATAAATTTATCAAAAGCATCTGGGTCACGGGGTGCATTATCTGGATAACCTAATCTCATAGCGATTATTTCCAAATGCTCGTATGCCTTCTTATTTCGAGAAACTTGCTGAGCTGATTCTAATGGTTGTTCTTGCATATGCGATAATGAATGGGCAAAATAAGTGCTGTTCCATTAAGCCCCCCGTTGTATGTAAAAGTAGCAGGCTTTCGCTCTTGCCATGTATTTTTGATAGCAGTAAAGAATGCATTTATATCACCTGGATTAGCAATCTTAACTCGTGTAAAGAGTTCTTCTGGCAAATGGTTCCACAATATTGCCAAAGCATCAGCATTATTATTTGGCGTTTGTAGTAATAGCAGACGGATTCTCTCTTCATAAGTTTCTGGAGTATCTGTTAGTAAAAATTTCTCTTGAGCTAATTTTGATAAAGAGGCTTGACGTGATCCTAAAGTCAATTCATGATATCTGTGTCTAATCCAATTTCTGAATAAGGCAGGAGTGTTAATATCAGTACCAAGAGGATATTGTGCGGGAACTGGTGCATACTTACCAGACATTTTAGACTTTAAGATATTGGTTTTTACTGCATCATTAAACTCATTGACATTTAAGGATATTCCATATGAAAAAACTTGTTCGATTTTATTAACGTAATCATCCGGTGGCTCTTGCCCTGTGTATTGCGGAATTTGGGCGAGATTTGGTGCTAGTGATGTCATAACATCAGATAAAGTTGCCATGTTTTGATTCTGAGGCGGTATATTATTCTGTAAATCAAAAATTCTTTGGTTTAAAAAATTAATTCGCTCTTCAAGTTCTAAATTAGCGTCATGAATCAATTTCGATCTCAATTTCCATTTTGTATATTTAGTGTGCTTAGCTCTCGTCCTATTTTTCCACTTCGTGTATTTTCCGTACAGTCTTGCACGGCCGTATGGCTGTGGCTGGGAGGTATTTTTATACCTATTACAAAGGATCTTGAGAGCAAAAATTTGTGATAATAACCGAGTTGTATTTTTCGCATAATAGACTCGCCAGAATGTGTGCATTAACTTTTCGCCTTTATGGCTTTTCTCCACATCGTCCAATATATATGCAGTGGCGTTTTGCCAGCTCATAGCATCATCAATAACAATTCGGGTGTTATCCCTTTCTGTCGCTAACTCAAGTTGAGATTGATTATAAAATCGAGTTAATTCATCTAATGCATATTCGACTGAGTTTTTTAATGTTATATCAGAATTTCTACGTATTTTATTTCTAATTGATTGGCTAACGGATCCAAACGTTCTGGAGGTATCATCCATCATTGGCGATCCTGGTATTCTCGGTGGAGTAAAATTAGCCATTTCTATTTGATTAGACGATATTCTTTTGCGAGGTATTAATTCTTTGATTCTTGCCTTAAGCCTTAAAATATCCTCTTCATACCTAGCTATTTGGTTATTTTTGGAATCAATAACAGTTTCGTTTGACTTGATTTCCTTGAGAGCCGATCTCAATTGTTTTCGTAAATTTGAAATTTGGATTTTTAAATCATCAATTTCATTCTCTTGGTTGGTGATTGTAAGACTACGGCGTATTATCTCTCCCTCGCATTTTTCCAATTCCCATATAAGTTTACGAATTTTTCTTTCATTTGTACAATTTATATCTACCTCGCGATTTAATTCCTCTCGTAATTCGATATTCGATTGCGCAAGTTGCACAAATGCTGGATCCAGCAAATTGTCTTCCATTATTATAGTTGATCAAAAAATGGCAAGTAACGTTCCCATTATTTCTATTGATCCCAAAATAGCACGTAGACTTGACATTGCTATTGAGCTTAGGAAATTGTATTATAGGCCTCAGGGTTACTATCGTACCAGTGAAAAATTGCATGCTGCTTGTAAGAAAGCGGGAAATAATTTCTCATTAGCTGATGTGAGAGAATGGTTAAATAAACAAGCACTACATCAGATTCATAAACCCCGCCCGAAATTTATTCAGTATGCCTCTTTCAATGGAATACAGAGGTTGAATCAAATGCATCAGTCTGACACCACACCTATGCCTCATGATAAGGTTGGTAAACGGGTTTATAAATACAGAGGTGTGATAAAAGATGTTTCAACCAGATATCGCAAGAGTTTTGGTTTGACAGATTAAACGTCAGCACAAATGTCTAAGGCTATTAAGAAAATTTATAATAATCCCCTAAATCCTCTTACTTGGCCTGAAGACTTTAGAGTTGATAAAGGAACGGAATATATGGGAGAATGCAGAGAAATGTTACTCCGAAATGACGTAAAAATCTCGTATGCCAAAAGCAAGCGGGGTGTTGCTATCGCTGAACGTGACCATCAGGAGTATGAAAAACCAGCCTTTAGACGACAAGACGCTGTAGATTTTCTTTTACCATTATCAGAGAGATGTCGAGCTTGGTATGAAGAGCTTGACATTGATGATGACATTTATAATAACACAGTCACCAGTCAAATAGGCATGACGCCTAATAAAGCAGTAGAAAGAGCATTAAAAGGCGAAAAAATAATTGCAAAACCTGCTGTAAAACATAGACGAGCTGTAGGGTATAATGAGTCCCCTTTACCAACACATACAGAAGTTCGTCATCTTCTAGAAACAGGAGAATTGGAGGGTAACGCTTTCGGAAAAAGAAGAGCGACCGATTGTAACTGGAGTCCGGAGGTTTTCACAATTGAATCATATTTGATAAAAAACAATCAACCGATTCTCTATAAACTTTTTAATGGTCCAGAACGTTCTTTTGTCAGAGAAGAACTTCAAATTGTTCCCAAAGATACTGAGTTGCCACCTCAATATATTCTCAAGCATTAGACTTACCTCCTCTCTCCTCCACTTGACTTAAAATTTGCTCGAATGCATTGCTTAAGTAGTTATCTATTTCAGATCGATTATATACTATAATTTGCTTATTTCGTAGCCAATCGATTTTCGAACTTTTCTGTTTAGGGGTGGAAGCTCTGGGTATTTCTTCAAACAGTGGAAGTTCGCTGTAAGGTGGAGGCGCTTCGCAGCGTGGTTGGTTTCCAGGTTTGTCTCCCATAATAAATTTGGTAAGTGAACATAGTGCAAACTTAAATTGTCCCCGTTTATCGAATTCTCTTTCTAGTAATTCTCGGAAAGATTTTCTTTGACTTTCCAGCATTTTTCTTACATCACTTCCATTGTCCGGATGATACCTAGGGACGCTTGCATTGTATACTGCTATAGCTCGTCTTTTAAGTGCGGGGCCTAATTCTTGCTCGCGAAATACTAAAATTTTTTCATAATCTCCCGTAATATTAGCCAATCGCTGAAATTCTTCATTAAATAAATTTTCTGTAATAATTGGTTTGCACGGATTTTTTCTCCTACGATGTTCACGGAGTCTTTGAGGCGTTGACAATGATTTGCCGCAACGTTCACAAGTAGTATTTTTCTTTTCTTTTCCAGCCATTTGTACTAACGGTCGCGATATATTATACTTATACAAAATCGTTTGTTCAAATAATAATTTCTAAACCTATATTAAGCGGTACC